TCATCACATCCTGAGCTCCACCTTGGCAGGGTCCTTGCTCAGGTCCCTCAGCTCCCATCCTGGAGTTGCTGGTTGTTCTCTGCAGTTGCTTTAGTCCTTCTTTAGAAATCTTTGGAGCCTCTCAAGGCCTGGCAACTTCTTGTTGCTGTGACTGAGCCTGTACCTTGTTCCTTGCCTATGGAGCACCTGGGCCAGGAAAGGCCAATAATCACTGGGGTAAACTCACTTAGTCTCCCTTAAATGTCCCTCTCTCTGTGACCTTCTCCAACAGATCTCTTGGGCCTCCTGTGCTCCTCCTGCCTCGTGGCCATCACAGATTGGTTTGGGGTTTTTTGTGCAGCAGCTTTTAAGTTGCATCTCAATTCAGCACAACTCAGTCTGGCTTGGTGCAGTGCAGCTTTTTAATTTATCTAATTTGGTCTGTGCTTGTATGTTCTGATGGACATTCTGGCCAAGATCTGGAGTCTGATCCTTGGTGGTCCTCAATGGCCTCTTGCCTTTGCAGTTCATCTTGGATGTGGGGACTCAGTTATGTTTCTGTGTTTGTGGGTTTTTATCTGGAAATCTCTGTCAGGGCTCAAACTTTGTTAATTCTTGGTTAAAATCTGAAATCTCGGGGTTTCACTGTGCTCCTCCTACCCCCAGCTGCTGAATCCAGCATTGCTGATTCCCTTGCTCGTTGCTGATTCCCTCACTCGGTCCCTGAGCTGCTGCTGGGGGTCACATGGTTGTGTGGAGATGGGAAATACTTGGAAAAACCAATTTTGGAGCGTCTTAATTTCATAGGGAGCTTCTCACGGCAGTGTTTATGCAGCACTGGGAGTGTAGGAGATGTGTGGGACACGGGACCTCAGGAGAGCAGCATCAGTGCTGCAAAGCTGCACCAGGACAGAGCTGGGACTGGCTGGGTTTGACCTCTGGGCTGTGGCATTCCCTGCTCCTGTGCTGCATCCCTGGGCTGTTCCCAGTGGGGTGGAAGGGATCTGGGGTGGCAGTGGGGGAGCACAGCTGTGCCTGGGGCCGGGCTCTCATCCCTGCTCCTGTCTCAGGTCCTACAGATCCACGGACGGACGGACAACCCCCCAACTGGGGAACCCCTCGACTCCCCAGCCGGCTTCCCCCGAGGTGGGCAGCTACCACCCCCACTTGGAGCTGTCCCACAGCCACTCACCACGCAGCCCCATCAGCCCTGAACTGCTCTGTGCCCCCCTGACCCCCCTCTCCCGGGACTCCCTGCGGCTCCTGTCCAGCGAGGACACGCGTTGCTCCACGCCCGAGGTCGGCCTGGACGAGCAGGTGGGTTCTGGCTCCGCCCGGGGCAGGGGCGGCCCCAGGGCTGAACCCAGTGCTGGGATGTGACCGTGGGGAGGCAGCTTGGAAAACCCGCCCGTGGGAAATGCCATGGGAATGCTGGGCCAGGTGGGATGCAGAGCGTGGTGTTGGTCGGCACGGGCAGCAGGAGGCTTTTCCAGCAGCTGGCTCTGTTTGGAGCTGCCGTGTCCTCCATGTCAGAAGCTTCCCAGGTGCTGTTCCCGGGGCTGGGACACGGCACTGGGGAGCTGCTGCTCCCCGGAATCGCTCCAGGAGCACGGGCACAAAAGCTTTTCCAGCGGATTCCCCAATTCCTCGGTTCTCTCCCCTCCAGGCCGTGCAGCCCTGGGAGCGACGCACCTTCCCGCTCTCCTACGACCCCCGGACAGAGTGCGAGGACCAATCCGACCCCCAGGACCGGTTGTCGCGCTGCACCCGCCGCACGTCGGGCAGTAAATCCTCCCGGGAATCCGATGGCACTTCGGCTTCGCCCAGCCTGGCCAGCCTCAAGAGCAGAACCCCGCTGGCCCCCCCTCCCTCCTCCTCCTCCTCCTCCTCCTCCTCTTCCTCCTCTTCCTCCTCCTCCTGCTCCGCAGTCCTGCGGCCAGCGCACAGATAGAGACACACGGGGAGACATGAGCAAACCAACACACAGAACTAACTCTTGGCATTAAAGCTTCCAAAATCTGCGTTTGATATTCAAACATCCTGCCGGGAATTTTCACAGTTTTTAGTGAATTTAAGGAGTTTAGAAACTGTTTTTTGTTTTCTTTTTTTTTGTTTTGTTTTATTTCTTTTTTTTTCTTTCTTTTTTTTTTTTTCCTTCTCCATGTTTCCTCGTCACATGAATGAGCCCCCAGATTCCTCCCAGCGGAGTGAAGCCTCGGGAGGGGAGCAGCCCACCAGACCCCCTCCCCTTCCCTCCCCCCCCTTAGGTGTATAAATCTAGAGCACAGGATTTAGCTGACTAGCAGATTTCGGGGATAGTTTTTCCCAACAAAAGGGTGTCGTTTTCTCTTAACCTGCTCCTCCCCCCACCCCCCTCCCTGAAAGGTTTTAGTGGAGTGAAATTAGTGGTGAAAAGTGATGTCTTGGGATTGCAACCTTCACTGTCTGGCTGTGCCCACCTGCACTTCCACCCTCCCGCGTTTCCCTCCCCCAGGTTGTAGTTCCAGGTATCCCGAGGGGGGATTCTGCCCCTCCCTGATCCCCCCTCTGCCCCCGGGGCCGCCTCCCCCTTCCTTCTCCCCAGGTTTGGAGCAGCCCTTGCTGTGCCCGGCGGGGGGGGGGGAAGGAGGGACCTTGTGGCTGCTCCAGCTCTGCATGGAAAGAATGGGATTTGGGAAGCAGTTTGTGTCCACCTGGCGTGTTTCGAGGGCAGGGAGGGGAAGAGTCCCCGATGCTTTGAGCAGGAGCAGAATTCCCGGGGCGCTTGGATGCCCTTTGGGGACGAGGCTGATCCAGCTGGAACCGCGGGGCAGCGGCCGGGGTTGGGAGGGCGGATGAGGCGGGGAGGAGCCGCTGGGAGCGCGGGATGAGGCAGGGCTGAGGCAGGGCCGGGCTGAGGCAGGGCCGGGATGAGGCAGGGCTGAGGCAGGGCCGGGATGAGGCAGGGCTGAGGCAGGGCCGGGGTGGTTCCCGCAGGGGGGAGATCGGAGAGGGGAAGGGCAGGAGGTGGCTCCGGGGGGTCACCAGGGGGGTCACCACAGCTTCGCTCCACTCCCGCACGGCCCCGGCTCAGGGGTCGGTTCCGTTTCATTCCCGGGGGGTCCCTCTGACAGGTTTGGAGTTTGAACCCGAGTTCGCTGTCGTCCCTCCCCGCCCGGTTCCGCACCCGCAGTGACTCCCGGGTCCCGCACACCGTCCCCATCTGTAACGCTTTCCCATCCCGACGGTGTGGCTCCTGGTCCCTGTCCTGTTGCTATAGCATCGTGCCTGTCTTATGTATAATCACATCACCAAAAAAAAAAAAACCAAAAAAAAAAAAAGACAAAAAAAAAAACGGGAAAAAAATTACAAAGGACTTTTTTTTTTTTTTCCATTTTGTAATCGTAAAGAAATAGTCGCTGAACTGCTTCATGGTCGGGGTTTTCACAATTTTCAACATTATCTCGTGGTTTTGGTTCTGTTCTAGTTTAAAAGGATCCGTCATCGTTTCTTTAAAACAAACAAACAAACAAAAAACCCAACAAACAACGGCGCTACCATATCCCTCTGCAGAAGTGCTTTTCTATTTATAAGGTTGAAAATTCTGAATAACCCTTTTAGCATTATAAAAACCACACACACACACACAAAAAAAAACCCAACCCACCTTGTATTTTGTAAATATTTTCTTTTCCTGCTTTGAGCTGTGTAATGTCCTTGTTATATAGAAATGCTTTTCTTCCGAGAAGCTGATCTTTGTTAATGTCTTGATTCTGTTGGCAAAGCACAAATGTGCTTATAAAAAAAAAAAAAAGAAGAAAAGATTAAAAAAAAAATTAAAACGGAATATTCCATGTGCTGAGTGTGCAGTACCAGGCTGGGATGGGGAAGGGGCCCTTTGGCGCTCTCGGATCACCCCCTTCCCTCCCACACCACATTTCAGTGGCCTCTTCTTTCCTCTGTGATGTTATTTCCCAGCAGTTGCTCTCAGTGAGAGGAGGAATTGTCCTGTGGGAGCTCTGGATTTGGGCTTTGCTCTGGGGCAGGTGATGGAGCAGGACCAGGGCTCGGTAGTGCTTCCCTGGGACCGAGCTCTGCTTCCCATTGCTCCGTCCAAACACCCAGACTGGGGGTTAATTTTCATTTTTGGGGTTAACTCAGTGCTGCTGGTTCACACCCAGGGACTGTTGGTGGGGACCATTTGCCCCTGGGGGTGGGATTGGTGCCAGTTCAGTGTTTGCAGGAGGTGAGTGGGGAGAGGCAACTTCATGGGTGCTCCTGTAGTCCCAAAATAAGGGAGTTACACTCTGTGCCTCGTTATCCCCACAGATGGGAAACGGGAAGGTGCCTCTTGATTATTAGCCAGGAGATCAAAGTATGGGCATGGCCAGGTTCAGTACAAGGCATTAATGGGGCAGGAAGAATCCAACTGGAAAAGCAAACGGTGGCAGGAGCAGCTGTGCCAGGCCGGAAAGTTCTCCCACCTGCACGGGGCAGGCGAGTCCTGAGGAAGGTGCGGAGTGAAGGGACCTTGTGGTGGCTCCTGGACTGTGAGTGGTTGATTGGGCACGGTGGGATTTGGTCAAAGACTGGACCTGGTGATCCTGGAGGTCTTTTCCAGCCTTAATGATTCTTAATGAAAGCTGCAGCCCTGAGGGGCTGGGTGGGGCTGGAGTTGGGGAATGTGGCGCTGCCAGGACCCAAAGCAGCCCCTGGCTTTGGGGGCAGAGCAGGGTTTGGTCTTGCTCCACCTCTGAGAATGTCCTGTCCACAGTCAGGGACCAAAAATAACACAACACTTGGGCTTCCTGGCTGCTGGGGCTCTGCCCTGCCCATCAGACACCCCCCTCCACTTCCTGCACCCCCCTGTGCCCCAGGGAGAAGGGTGGGAACTGGTACTTCAAAAGTGAAAACTAGTCCCTGCCTATCCCTGCTGCTCCCCACCAGCTGATCCTCCAGCCCCGAGGGATCAACCCAAGAGGAGGGACCACCCCCAACTCCCCTGTCCCTGCTCCCCCACGGAAAAGAGGCGCCGGTTGTCGTTATCGTAGTAATGACTTTATTTCCAAATTCACTTTTACGGCAACAGTGTAAACCAGTTGTTAAACACACGATACACTATGGACACCCACAGACAGAAGCTAAGCTAGAATGATACACTGAGATCAAACCTTCCCTCCCTGCCCCGGCGCAGCGCGGGGGCAACGGAGCTGCCAACGCCACACAGGCTGGCACCGACCTTCGCTAACAACCAGATCCTTTTTGGAGTGCAGAAATAGGATTTTTTAATTTTATTTTTTTTTTTAATCAGTGCCGGTTTTAACCCTTTTCAGACCAAGATGTGTGTGGAGTAAAGGAAAAGCTGGGGGTCAGGCTGCTCACGGGGACCCTCAGGCCTGGGTCTGAACGCAGGGTCAGGGCTGGGGACGTGGCTCGGGTTGGTGGAGGGGACAGCGGGCGACGAGGTGGATGGAAAGGGCTGTCCTGGGACCCCCCCAGCCCCCGGGAGGGGGACGGCAGACGGGGCTGAGGACACTCGCAGCGGGAAGGGGCTGCTCACTGGAGCTCGGCGCACACGAAGGACGTCCCTGTCCCTGGGTGCTGCTGTCCCTCGGGGGCTGCACAGAGGGGCTGGGGTGGCACAGGGCAGGGTGGGCCAGCTCAGCTACACCGTCCTGCAGCCCAAAAGGGATAAAGGGGGTGGTGCTTTCGGGGTTCTCCCACTTGCTCGTTTTACAGAGGACAAAAACCGCGGCGGCTCCTACAGCGCTACAGAGTCGGGGACAGAGCACGGCTACAATCATGGAGTCAACTGAACGGAGAGAGACAAGCTGGACGTGGTGGTGCTGCTGGACCAGCCTCTCCCCAGCAGTAAAGCAGCTCCTGGGGCTGCAGAGAGGAGGGTTGAACCCCCCGAACAGCCATCCCCCAGCCCCAGCCGGGCATCCAGCGGCCCCCCGAGGCACAGGGCGCACGAAGGCGGGTCTGCAGCTCCTGCAGGATGGGAGTGAGTCCTGTCCTGGAAGGAATCGCTGCTCTGCCCAGGAACAGCTGCTCTGGCAGCCTCGGTGGCACCCAGCCACCTCCCCAAGGACAACCAGGGCCCCATGCCCCAGCATGACCCTCTGCCAGCCCCGTCAGACCAGGATTCCGGCCCTTGCTGGGAAAGCGTGGCTTTCCCTGCAGCACAGTCCTTGGGGTGCACAGTCTGGGGCCCACATGGTGCCCCCTCTGCCCTCACCTCTGCCAGCTGTGCCCCCGGAGCTCGGCTGGTGCCTCTGGGGACACAGGGTGGGAGGACACACACAGAGCTGCACTGGTGGCATCTCAGCCTCTTTGGTTGTAGAGGGAAGGGGCAGGCAGGGACGGCCACAGGACCCCCTCGTGCTCCCCAGGGAGCCACAGGAACAAAAGTAGCAAAAGAAATAAGCGGCTCCTGTCCCTGAGCGGTGCCGGGGGCGGTCAGTGCTGCGTGAGGGGACACTGGGAGGGGTGACACGCTGCCAACTCAAACCCGGGGAGCGCCCGGAAAGGGGGTTCAGTGCCAGGGAGCAGCCGCTGGGCCCCGAGCTCAGGCTGGGGGAGCTGCTGCACCTCCCTCGCGCCTTCCCCGCGTCCTCCCGGGGGTCTCCTGCGGCTGCCACCGGCACAGCAGGGCCACGGAGCTGCCACCTCCGCCATCGCTGAGCTGACCTTGCAGGGAAAGAAAGAGAACAACCCAAAAATGTCACAAGCTGCACCCAAAATCCAGGAGCCAACCCAGCCCTGGAGCTGTGAGTGCCCCTCACCCAACACCCCGGGGGGGCTGGGAGGAGGTGCCCGGCCCCGGGGAGCCCAACGCAGCCCCCGGCCCTCCCCGGGGCGTGGGGCAGCGGCTCTGTGCCCACCTCCCACCCGGCAGACATGCAGTGCCGGGCTGCCCCGGCACAACCCGGGGCTGGCACAACCCAGAGCCCGGCCGAGCTGCCCGGACCCCCCCGGCTGGGCTGCGGCGGAGCCGGCGCGGGGCGGCTCAAAACTACTTACAGCATTTATTATTATTTTTTTTTTTAAACACATGCTCGTTTATGAAAACAATCACCCTGGCACGGTCCAAGCATATACAGACAAATCTACTCTACGACACGAGGGGCTGCCAAAGGAATGGGGAAAAGCCTCTACTCATCCACTCAGCGGTTCCAGCACAGCCACGGAGGGGGAACGGCCGTCGGGGCCCCTCCGCAGCGGGTACCCCGGGGTCGCCTGTACTCCAGCTGCCGGAGCTGAGAGCGGGGTTGGGGGGTACCTGGCCGTTATCTTCAGACACATCTCGGCTTTCGGAGATAAAAACAAAAGGTTTCTTCCAAATCAGCAGGCAAATTTAACGCAGGGAGGGAGGGCACCTCCCCGCAGTCCCTGGCTGTGCACCCAGGACGCGCCCGGCCCTCAGGCCAGCCCGGCCATCCTCAGGGGGACGAGGGTGGGAAGGTGGCCCCTTCCCTGAGGGCCACCTGCTGCCCCGTGCCGGTGTGGGGTGCTCGGGTCAGCGCCGTGCGGGGGCCGTCCCCTCGGGCCCCCTCCCCGGGTGGTCCCGGGCAGGGCTGGGACAGCGAGGGACGCGGCAGGGAATGAGGGGGAGCGTGGGGACAGGGACGGGCTGTGCGCTCCGAGGAGCAGGGGGAGAGGAGGTTTTGTACCTCATAGTGTCACTGATTTTGAAGTCCTGGAGCTAGAGCTGAATGAACAGTAAAAGCAGGTTAAATCATTAACCAGTTAGGGACGGGGAAGCAGCTGTAAAAGGAACAGAGGAAGAAGGCCAGATTATTATTTTTGTTTCTTTTCTTTTTTTTCTTTTTTTTTTTGTTTCCTTTCCTTGTCTTCTCTCCTGGTCGCCGCCGTGCCCCGATCACAAGCCCTGCTTGGCCAGCGAGGCGGACACCTCGTCGGCTAGCGTGGCCAGCTGGGGGGAGTCCACCAGGTTGATGCTGCCGGTGGAGGAGACGTTGCTAAGGCGGCGCGGGGAGGCATCTCCGGAGATGGTGGGGGACTTGTAGACGATTTCGGCGCCGTGGTCGGTCTTGGCTTTGGCGTTCTCGCGGAAGGTCAGCTTGTGGGTCTCAATCTGCGAGGAGAGGGGAGGGCGGTGAGGGGGGCACGGCCGGGGGGGGGCTGGTGGGACCTGCCACGTGCCTGCTCCAGCACGGCCGCTGAGAGGTGGGAGGACAGCTCAGAGCACTGAACCAGTGGCCCCAGTCCTCAGGGATGTCCCTTCCAGTCCTCAGGGATGTCCCTTCCAGT